TCCAAGATGTCTCTGTTTAGCGCAGAACTCTTTTGAGTTTTGTATACAGTATTGGACCTTGTGCTTCTGCTCAGGTTGCAAAACTGGTACCACAATTCAGAAACTTTGGCTAACTGGACCCCTGTTTCTGGGCAGACTTTTAACACATTGTGGCTTGAGATCCCTTTTGCTTTAGGGTGCTGATGGTGTTAGGGTGCCTAACCCTGTTAGGTTGCCTTTTTCTTTGCCTGAAATTGATCTACTTATGTCCGTCCATTCCTCCTCCATGTCAAAACAAAATAAAATCAAGAGCTAATTCAAACTTGGGGAGAGTGGAGGGAGGGAACTCTCTGCTTCTCTAGAAGAGAGCGACCTAACAGTGTGGATTCTTTTAAAAAAAATGTTCAAAAGTAAAGCCTTGGAGTAACCTTGTGAAATGAAACAACCAAGAAAAAGGAACAGCCTCTGTTTATCTGCTTCCTCCCACCATTAACCCCTTCAGTTCCCCAGCATTAGGCAGAGAGAGGGTGGGGGGTGGGGACCTTTTATGCTCCAGCTGCCCTTATGGGGAGATTTATTTATTGGCCGTTGTGTGTGATGGAAGAATGTCTATAACAGGCACGGATTTTTGTGGCTATTTCAAAACAAAATATGAACCGCCGAGCTTAAAATAGCTGCTCCTTCTTAAAACTTCTATTTTCCTCCTCAGAGTTTTTCCCCCCTTTTAAGCGAATGATAACATGGCTTGAGGATAAACAGCCACAAATTAATGTGTTTAGTAAATATGGAGCACGCCTAAATACTTGAGGCTGGTGTTAGTGGGTTGGTTAAAACTAAGCAGTGTATTTGCCAACAGGGGTGGGGGATAGAATCTTACAGTTGTAGACTTGAAAGGTACCCCAAGGGCCATCTAGTCTAACCCCTGCAATGCATGAAGTTGCTTATACATCAGAATGACCCAAACCCAACCCTGTTGGTTTTTAATTGATATATATGTATAGCTAATAGCACTTTTAACTTGCAAATGCACTACATTTGTTCTCACAAACACCCTGTGGCATATTTCCATTTTACAGATGGGGGACCAAGGTTGAGAGGAAATGTGACTTGAGCAAGGCCACTTGAGCCCATAGCAGGAATAGAACTGAAACCTCAAAAACTTGCACTATTGCACAGCAACCCCTATTGAAGTCAGGGGGACATTCCTTCTGAGTAAACTTTTGTAGCAACATAGTGCTCAAGGTCTTGCTGTGCATCTGCTTAGTTGTTAGCATATATCAAGAGTCAGGGAGTTCCACAGAGGATGGAAGGAACAAATGCCATGGCAGATATAGATTGAGCCCTATCTAAGGCTTTTAAATTAACACTGGAGTGAGCGTCTTAAGAAATGTGAGAATCTCCCTCCTTGGAGCTGAGGATGTTTTAGGTAAAATACATCCTTTCTTGGGACAGAGGGGGTTGGGATAGATGACTCATTGGTATACCTGCTAACTTTTTTGGTTCCACTAGGGTTTTTTGCGGGGTGGGGGAGGAGAAGAGAGGGGTAAACTTTTTTGGGGGGGTCCTTTCCCAAAGAAGAGGGCTTGGCTCTGTTTTCTGTTGTGCCCCTATTTGGAAGGGGCAGGGGCTCTCCTTTCAGTGCCAAAGCACAGCTGAGAACTGTAATGAAGCTACAGTGACAAACAGAGTGCCCCTGAGCATGTGCTGGGTTCCAGCCACAGCCTGCCCCTATTCATGTAGGGCAATGGTAAATTACCTTCCATTGTGGAAGGCCATGATTTCCACCGCAGCCCCTCTCATTTTACAAATATAAAGGACTCCCTCCCTCTTCTCCTCCAACATCTTGTGAAACGAGGCGGCCTTGCATGATGCAATACCTCTCATTATCTCGAAAGCAAGCCCAGCAGCCTGGTTTCCGTCCTCGCCTGGTGGGAGGGTCCTGGGGCCCCAGCTGGTGCTGCGAGAATGGGGAGCGGGTGGGGAGAGGCAGAGGTTTCCCTCATTCTGGCGAGGCGCCAGCCAGGCCCTCTGCAGTTGGCAGCTGTATTGGGCAGCACTGCCAACAAAGCCCCAAGTCCCTCTTGGGTGCCAAACGAGGCAGGCCATAATAAGGCAGATGTTCCGGCGGAAACTTGAGGTTTTGCAGGCAGGGTGGAAGAATAATCGCTCCCCATGCCCCAAAAGACTAGGGTTTTGAATATGCTGTGTTAACCTGAGGAGTTAAAATCCCCCTGTTCATGTGCCTCTCTCCATTACTCAGCATTTGATGACATGATGACACCCGGCTGAGTGTCTGTGAAGCCACTTCTATGGGAAAGAGCAAGGGATTTGGGGTTGAGGCAGAAGGAATTCTGCCTGCCTGGTATTTGTTCTACCACAAACTCATTCACACATGCAAACAAACCTGCATGTGTGAATGGGGCCTTGCAGTTTGAAAAGAGCCAAAAGCCTACCTAAGGCAACCTACAAAGAAAACCACCCCCCTGTTTTGTCCTTAAGATTTCCCCCTGGAGGTAAGCTATTTTGTAATGGAAAGGCAACTGAGGTGACTGGCTTCATGAACTCAGGTCTCCCACATGTAATCCCAGTGTTTTTTTCACTGGTGCTTAATTTCTAGAGGAAGAGGCTGGCGCTCAGTCCTGTATGGATGTTGCATTTCTTGACCTGGATGTGGTTGCACATCTGGGAAGGCATTCTGCATATGCTCAGGAGCATGTTCAGTCATTACACAATGGGAAACAACACATTCTGCACATGTTCAGGGTCACCTCCTGTCTCTGTTGGGATAATAAAAATTAAAATAGCCCTGAGCATATGCAGAGTGCCTTTCTCTGCTTTTGCTGATCCCTGACATTGAAAGCAGGCCCCAGGCTGAGCAAGTCTGCAAATTATGCCTTACACATGGTCAGTACTCTCATTTTATGTGCTAATACAGGATTAAAAGCCTTGGTTCGGGGCAACATTCAAATATCTCTCCATCCTTCATGCCGTGTCTTTCGCTCCACAAATACACACACAGTTTGCCGCAGACACTGTCTTCCGCACAATTTTTAAAATTCTCGGCAGAGAGAATTTTATCTGAGTGTTATATTGGAGAAGGTGTAAGTTTGCCACTACCCTGTTACGTATTTGGTAGCCAAAATTAGACACACCTTTCTAATCAGGGGGAATAAAACCCCTAATGGTTAATCCTGTAGCAGGGGGCCCTGAATTTGCTGGGTGTGGGGGCTTTCTCTACAGAGTACTTAGCAGGATGAGTGATCCTGGCATTAACTCAAAACAAGTCCCATGTTGTCAGTCGTCTCTCCTTCTCCCCAATTATTTTGAGCTTCTCCAGGAATGAATGAGCCAGGCCTTTGGAATGCGGCCATCTCCCGAGGACCCCTCCCCAAACAGCTGCCATGTCCTTTAGTCAATAATAATCCACAAATTCATTATAGGCCCTGCAAATTCCGGCCTCTTTCCCCCATTGTTATTGTTTGTGGAGATCAGAGGAAGAGGGTAGCCATGTGCACTCAGGCAGGGTGAAAGGGGGAGTGAGGGGGGGACAGGGGAAGGGGGAGCCGCCTTGCGCCATCTCATTCCTGTGTCGAGATTGCCAGCAGCTGAATTGATCTGTCTGTCCTTTGTTCTCTTGGGATGTTGTGGCAGAAGTGGATCTCTTTGTTTAGGGCAGTCTGCTAAGAGAGAGCCCTGGCGGATACCCTGGAGAGCTGCTGCCTGTCAGAGAAGACAATGCTGAGCTCGACAGACCTATGGCCTGACTCAGGATAAGGCATCTTTCTGTGTTTCTGTGAGCCAAACTGGTGCCTTCTTGATATGTGTTGGACTAGGAGCTGGGAGAGACCGGGGTTCAAAACCCCACTCAGCCATGAAACTCACCTGGCAGCCTTGGGCCATTCACTGCCTCCTAGCTTAACCTGCCTCACAGAGTAGTTTTGAGGATAAAATGGGGTGGAGGAGAACTATGTGTAGCACCTTGAGCTATTTGGAGGAAAGGCGGGATATAAATGGAAAAACTAAACTTCAGCTCCCATCATCCTTAGCCAGCACAGCCATTTTATACTACAACCCCCATCAGGACCAGCCAACATGATGGAAGTCGTAGTCCAGGATATCTGGAGAACGCCAGCATAGCAAACATAGTGTCAGATAATGCTTGCTTGCTTGCTTGCTTGCTTGCTTGCTTGCTTGCTTGCTTGCTTGCTTGCTTGATGTATGTATGTATGTAATGCTTTGCCAACTTTTACTTTTTCTATAAGTTCTTCCCCCCCCCCCAAATATTGATCTTCCCTGCCCCCCATGCTGGTGACATCTGTTGCCTGGGTGGAACAGAGAAAGGGTCTAAGCAATTTAGAGATGAGAACAGCCAAAGACCCATCGAGCCCAGAACTCTGTCTCTGGTGATTGGCAGAGGCAGCCAATCTGCATTTAGGGATTTGGGTAAAAGTTTTTCCTTTTAAGGCATGAAAATGACAGGGGGACCTGAGTTCTCTTGTGCTTGGGTCCTGCTTGCGGGTTTCCCACAGGCATTTTGTCCTGGACAAGATGGGCCATTGGCCTGATCCAGCAGGCTCTCCTTACATTCTTATGGTGCTCAGGTCTTGTTTGCAGGCTCCCCTTTGGGGTGTCTGGTTGGCCACTGTGAGAACAAGATGCTGGACTAAATGAGCTAGTGGCCGGATCCAGCAGGTCCCTCTTACACTAAGAACTCTGCAAAGGGGCAAAGAACCCAAAGGTTAACACAAGCACTACAACATTTTGCTACAGGGATGGGGAGCCTGGGACTCCTCAGGTGCTGTTGGACTCCATCTCCCATCATCCCTGGCCAGCGTGGCCTGTGATTGGGAAGGATGATGGGAGTTGCAGTCCAGCAGTATCCAGAGAGCCTTTAAGAGAGGGCGGTCTGAAATGTTTCGATAACTTGAGGTGGGAAATCTAAACAGCATTGCACCGTCACCACAGGGGCCCAGTCCACTGGGATGTTTTCAGGTTGAACAAGAAGTACACAAAAGCACAGGGCTCCCCCGTTCCCCATAGGTTCAGTGGTGGAGCATTGGCTTTGCATGCAGAAGGTCCCAGGTTCAATCCCTGGAGGCAGCATCTCTAGGTAGGGTTGGTAGAGAACCCTGCCTGAAACCCTGGAGAGCTGCTGCCAGCCAGTGTAGGCAATACTGAGCCAGATGGACCAGTGCTCCAACTCAGTATAAAGGCAGCTTCCTATGTTCCTATCTGTCTCCATAAGGAGACTTCCGGGGGGCGGCGCGAACGGCAATGGCGGTCTTCTCCCGACGGGAGAGGAGGCTCCGCTGAAATCGGGTCGTCCGCTACGGCGAAGCGGAGACCCAACGAGGAAAACCCCAGGCAGCAAGAGCCTGGGGTCCTGAGGCTCGGCGGGCGCCACGAGCAGCCCTCCAACCGCAGAAGGAGCCTCGTAAGGGGCTCCGGAGCGTGGAGGGGGGTTGCGGTGCTGAGAGCCGTTTCACAGTCAGCGGAGTGAAGCCGCGCTGCTGCTGCCGGTGAGCGCTGATCCCTTTTCCTGTCAAAATTCGGACTTGGAAGAAAAACAACTTATTCGTGAGTAAAGACTGAATCACTTGGAATTACAAATTTTAAATGAGAAGGTTTAATTCGGCTTGAACTTGGCTGAAAGCGGAGAGACGTGGAAACAGGAAGTCCGTCTTCCGCAGCCATTGAACTTGAAAAAAAAGCAACTAAGGCGGAGGAGTGGAGGCTGAAAGAAAGAGATTTTAAACTCTACACAGCCAAGCATCTATGGAACTTACAATTTAAAGTAAAACCAGTAAGCTAAAGATTTGGATCTTTTATTTGCACTTGACTTTCCCCCTTTTATTGGATTACAAATTGGAAGGTGAAACCCAGAGTCAGGATTGCTTGAGCACTGTAAGAGTGAGCTGTCAGTGTTGATTTGGATACTGTATATTAGAATTTGCAACAATCTGAGGGTATTGAGACCTTTTAAATTTGAAACATTCTTTTTGGAGACAAATAAGCACTGTCTGCAACAAAGTGATTACTTTTAAACTCTGCTTAATACTTATATTGGAAGGTTCTGGGACATTAAATCAGACTCTGAAAGACATCTTAAGCTCCCTCTAGAGGATTGGATTAAAACAGTGACTTTACAAATACATTTACTTTCGATTCCCTTGTTGTTTGCTTGCTCTGGGCCTTTCTATTCCTGTGGGAAAAACTCAGTGTGACCTTGACTGATAGATAACATTGGAATGAGTGGTACAAGAAGAAGAGGAAGAGTCAGACAAACAACTTTAACAACTCTAACCTCAGCCTCGCAGACACGTAGATCATCTGTGCCTACTTTGCCCTCAGAAGTACAACTTGAAGAAGCTGCTTTGCCACAGGCAAAAGAGGGAGAGGGTGAAGCAGAGCAGTTACAATTGGAAGATATGGCCTCAGGAGCATCTGTTTCTGTACTAGAAAAATCTTTGAAAAATTGGAAGCTTTGGACAAGAAAGTAGATGCGCAATCAGCAAAGATTGATAAAAATACAGATTGTCTAAACAAATTAACTACACAGGTGGGACAGAATACACAAGCAATTGGACAGTTAACGGAGGCCTCAGTAGAAAACCGAAAATTGGCTGAGGATACCAGACAAAAATTGGAAAATTTAGAGCAAGAGGTAAGACCACTCACTAAACAAGTTGGGGAACATCAGACTTATCTTTCTATGATAGAACTGCGAAATCGTGAGAATAATTTGAGGATTAGATCATTACAAGAGGCAGAAGAAGGAAATCTAACTGAGTTTTTGACCAAAGAACTTTCCAAGTTCTGGAATTTGGAAGAAAAGGACTTTAAAATTGTGTCAGCTTTCAGACTTGGAAGATTTATAAAGAAGGAGAGGCCCAGGGATTGTTTGATTACATTGAGATCGAAGGAGGAAAGGGATAAGATTTTGGGTCTACATTACGAAAAGTCACTGGAGGTTTTGGATAGAAGAATTGAGATATATAAAGATATTCCAAGACAACTGTTGGATCTCAGAGCCGCCTACTCTGAACTTGCTAAATTATTAAGGAGCAACGCAATTCCATTCAGGTGGGAATTTCCCCAAGGATTATCTTTTACCTTTAGAGCGAGAAAGGTCAAAATTAGAACATTGGAAGAGAGAGATAAATTTCTGGCTACATACGGAGAGGACCTACAAAAGGAATTGAACTACCTTCCGGGCCTGGGGCAAAGCCAGCATTAATACCTGCACCTGGGGAACTTGAAGATCCAGAGAAGACACCACCCCGGGAGAAATAACCAGACAGATCCAGGATGTCTCTGCAACTGTTGAGCTGGAACATTAATGGTTGTAACATTCCGGAGAAAAGGAAGAAAATATTTCATATATTAAAAAAAGAACAATTGGACATTATCTGTTTACAAGAAACACATGTGACGAGGCTCCACAGAAAAGTGTTAATAAATAAAAGATTGGGCCAGGAATTTATTTCGTCGGACAAAGTGAAGAAGAGAGGAGTGGTGATATATGCAAAAGAGAGCCTGTCACCTAAATTTCTATTTAAAGATGAACATGGAAGGATTTTGGCTATTGAGATACAATATCAAGGAGAGAAACTGCTGATATTAGGAATCTATGCACCCAATGAAGGGAAATCGGAATTTTACAAGAAGTTGCAGGGGACAATGCTGGATCATCTGGATTACAACAACATCATAATGATGGGAGACATGAACGGGGTCGTATCAACTAACATGGACAAGTCGCAAAGTCAAAATGTCACAAAAGATGGCAGACTACCTAAAACCTTTTTGAAATGACTGACAATATGGACTTGATTGACATTTGGAGAACAAAGAACCCACTAGGTAGAGAAGGAACATTCTTTTCTGAAGCCCAACTGACCTGGACAAGAATCGACCAAATATGGATTTCTAGAGGCCTGGCACCTAGGGTTAGAAAAGTGGAAATCTGCCCAAAGACCTGCTCTGACCACAACGCAGTAAAGATGGATATGACACTACTACCAACTGGATCCTTTAGATGGAAGATGAATGACAATTTGTTTAGAGATCAGGAAATTACCAAGAAGGCCCAAAAAGTTTTGAAAGACTATTTCGAGATAAACATGAATAATTCGGTGGAAAAAGAATCGTCTGGGACGCAAGCAAAGCTGTCATGAGGGGATTCTTGATACAACAGAATTTAGTAATTAAAAAAACACAAAATGAGAAAATACAAAAGATCTTGGATAAAATAAAAGAATTAGAGAAGAAATTAAGAGTGAATCCAAAGTCACAGCCAACTCTGAGAGAAATTAAACTGTATCAAACACAATATTCTAAATTGATAAATCAGGAAATTGAATGGAAGATTAAATTAATGAAACAAAAAACGTTTGAGTCGGCGAATAAATGTGGAAAACTGCTATCTTGGCAGTTGAAGAGAAGACAAAGATTAAATACGGTTACAAATTTAGAGGTCGATGGAAGAAACATTCAGAATCCAGTGGACATTAGAAAGTGTTTCCAGAGATATTTTAAAAACTATATACCCAAGGGCCGCAAGACGAAGTCGAGATTAAACAATTTTTGCCAAAAATGGATTATCTAAACTGTCACAAGAAAATAGGACAACCCTGAACTCTAAAATAACACGACAGGAGATTGAACAAGCTATTCAGAACATGCAACTTGGCAAATCTCCAGGGCCAGACGGGCTGACCTCCAAGTATTATAAGACACTAAAAGACTATTTGATACAACCCTTGATGGAGGTTAGCAATGAAATTATGGAGGGAAGAGGGCACCGGATTCGTGGAAGGAAGCGTTTATCACATTGATACCAAAGTCAGAAGCTGAAAAGACACAACTGAAGAACTACCGTCCCATCTCCCTTTTAAATGTGGATTACAAAATATTTGCAGATATTTTGGCAAGTAGATTTAAAAAGTTTTAAATGAAGTAATTCATAAGGACCAGGCCGGTTTTCTCCCAGGTAGACATCTGTTTGCTAACACAAGGAACATTATTGATATCTTGGAACTTCTCCAAACTGACATAAATACAAAAGCAGTTTTAATTTTTATAGATGCGGAGAAGGCCTTTGATAATATTTCTTGGAAATTTATGATGGGAAACTTAAAAGAGATGGGAGTGGGACGGGGTTTTGAGAATGGGATTGAGGCGATATATTCAGAACAGAAAGCTAAACTGATAGTTAATAATGTGGTTACAGAAGAGTTCAAAATTGAAAAAGGGACACGACAAGGTTGCCCTATCTCCCCTTTGTTATTTATTTCGGTTCTGGAAGTGCTATTGAACATGATTAGAGGGGACCAGTTGGTGGAAGGAATTCAGGTTGGTCAGAAACAATATAAACTAAAAGCTTTTGCAGATGACCTGGTTTTGACCTTGCAGAAGCCAGAGCCTAGTACGAAAAGAGTATTACAATTGATTAATGACTTTGGTCGGGTGGCGGGATTTAAATTAAATAAACAGAAAACCAAGGTTTTGGGAAAAATTTGACTGAGACAGAGTCAGAACGGTTTCAGAATGAGACGGAACTTAATGTGGTTAAAAAGTAAAATACCTAGGGGTAAACATAACAGCAAAAAATCTAAGTCTATTTAAGGATAACTATGAAAAATGTTGGACAGAAATTAAGAGAGACTTAGACAGTTGGTCAAAATTGAAACTTTCTTTGTTAGGCCGAATTGCTGCGATTAAGATGAATGTATTGCCAAGAATGTTGTTTTTATTTCAAACACTTCAGGTTTTGGACAAAATGGAGTGCTTTCAGAAGTGGCAGAGAGACATTTCGAAGTTTGTCTGGCAGGGCAAAAAGCCCAGAATTAAGTTTAAGATACTAACTGATGCAAAACAAAGAGGGGCTTTGCCCTGCCGGACTTAAAGTTGTATTACGAAGCCGCAGCGTTCTGCTGGCTAAAAGATTGGCTACTTCTTGAAGACACTGATGTGTTAGATTTGGAAGGGTTTAACAATGTTTTTGGATGGCATGCATATTTATGGTATGACAAAGTTAAAGCAAATAAGGCCTTTAAGAACCATATTGTTAGAAAATCACTGTTTAATGTCTGGACAAAATA